AAAAAATAATATTGAGCAATATTAATGAAAAGAATAAAATATAAATACAAAGATAAAGGTAACAAAAATGATAATATGAACAAATTAATAGAAATTTAAATTAAATAAAGAAAAATAATAATACTAATAAATAAATCAAAACAAGAAGATGCCATAGCCAAATTTGTATTGTATCAAAATTATAAGAAAGAGAAATGTAATGGTTACAAGTTTGATTAATACTTACTATAACCATTTTCTTTTTTATTTATTGTGTTAATTACTATTATCAAATAATAAGTACAGTTAACAAATGATTAATATGCCAAATTAGAATGTTATATTTACAGTTAGATATGTTTAATTAATTGTTTATTTATTTAAATAATATTTTTATTTTTATTAATTTATTAATAAATAAAAGCAATTAACATTATTATAATAATAAGTTATATTAAAAATCAATCATATAATATAGATAAACAATTATTCAAGTATTAATACTTATATAAATTAATGCCAATATGGTTCTAATAATTAAAAGAATTCATCATATTTTATTTATTAGTTCACATCATGTCTTTCTAATAATTTCATCATTATAACATTAATATATAATTCAATAATTTTTACTTATTTGTTATTCTATCTTTAATATTCAATAATATTTAATCAAATCGGTTAATATCTAATTTTTAGATACAAATTTATATGATAATTAATACGGATATAAATAATTAATGTTAATTAATAAATATAAATTGAAATTCATTCATATTGATATTAATTTAAAAATGAATATAATAACTAAAATTATTAACCAGATAATTTGTTTATTATATTGGTATTGATAAAATAAATATTTAATTTGAAAAAATATTTTATTGTTTTATTAGTACGAAATGAAGAAATTACAAGATATGGAAATATAAAGGAATACAATAATTAGAAAGTATTATATAATAAAATAAAAATAAGAGAAAACAATATAGACATTAGATTTGTAGTAAAATAATAAAGTAACCTTAGTAATATGAAAGATTGAGAAGTTGTAATAAAAACACAAATATTTGTACATTAATTAATGATAAATGATGAGAGAAAAACAAAATAAAAGAATATTGTTGAAGAAAGGAGAAAATAAACAAATAATATAAAAACAAACAACAAAAAAAATTAATGAAGAGAATACAAATGATATATTACAAATGAACCAAAAATTACAAATCAATTAGTTATTGAAATATAATATATGAAATAATACAAATATAAATCAAAAAAAGAAAGAAGTTAGAAATAATAAAAAATGAAACATGATATTGATGTAGATAAAATTATTAACAAGAGCAAAATCATTTGTCATAAATAAAGAAATTCAAATGAAATAATAATAACAAAGTGAGATCTAATAAGAAATAATAAAACATAAAAGTGTTAAATAAGAATTGATGAATAAAATGTAATAAACTATCAAATGAATAAGAAAATATAAAATAAAAGATAATATGAAAAAAGTCAAAATAAAAAGAAACAGTTAACAAATATAATAATTTAAAAACAACTTAAAAATTGATAGTACAATGGTACATAATGTCAACACTATTATTTGTATTCTTTTTAGACGAATCAATGAATAAAATAGGTGAATATATAAAATGGAATAAAATAAAAAGAAATAAATTAATAATTAGGATGAAATAAAATAAACATAAATAAAGAAAATTAATAAGATACAAATAATAAAAGTATAAAACTATATTTAATTATTTTTATGACAATAAAAGAAAAGTTGAAATTATATATATGTTAATAAAAATACCAGAAAATGTAATGAATAACTATTAAACAATTACAAATGAAAATAAAGAAAACAGAAAGAATAAAACATTAATTAGATTGATAAATATACAAATCATGCCACAATTAAGATAATTAAGTGAAATGTCATATTTTCAATTCAATAGTAAATAAAATCGAACAAATAATAGAAGACTCATAATTGAAAATGAAATTACAAAGAAATAACAAAGTTCACAACAATTACATTTAAATGATAAATATGAAATGAAATAATAAGAGTAAGATACATACATCTCAATACATTAATTACAATATATTCTATATAAAGATAAAATGAAAATGAAATAATAAAAGAATAGAAAATGACAATGAAGTACATGAATTATAGAATAAAATAACAACATATCATGATATTTGAAGAAATAAAGAGAAAATACAATAATAGAAAATAGAACACGAATAATAATCACAAATAATGCAATTCATTAAATTACAGAAAATGAATAAAATGAAGAATAAAATCAAAAATAAAGAAAAAAGAAAGAATAATAAAAATTCATAAAAAATATACCATAATACATGAAATTGTATTTCTTACATTTTATAAATTAACAAATAAGTATAAAAGGATAACAATCAAATGAAAAGTATTTAACACAATCAATTTAAAATACACACAATTTACAATTATGAAATAAGAGAAATAAGAAAAAATAGAAATACATAAAATAGATAACAAAGCAATATAAAAAGAAATAAATAATAAATTAAAGAATAAATATGATAGTCAATAGAATAAAATGAAAGAATTTGTTTAGAAACAAACAAAGACACAAAATAACAAGAAGAATAAAATAAAGAAACGAATATAAAACGAGCAAAGTGTAAAGTTTTAATAAAGAAATAATAATAACAATAATAGAAATAACAAAATATTACGATGATTAAGTATAAAAGAATAAAAAATAATAAAATATATAAACAGATATATCAAAATATAATGTAATTATTTATATCAATTGATACATACCAAAACAAATAAAAATATCTAATTATTATCGGTATTAAGTAAATCAAATAAAAGAAATAATACAAAAAAGAAAAAAATATATAAAAAACAAAAATATTAAATAATATAAAATAATCCAGATTCAAAATGAATGAAAAAAGAATTATATTGTTATTTAATTCATGAATTAAATAAATTTGAGTATGAATTAAAATATACACAAAAAGATTATTTATATTGAATGAATACGTTTTAAAACTATTTCAAACAAATGAACCAATACAAATATTTTAATCAACAAAAATAATTGAAACACAGTGTTCAACACCATTTTATGTTAAATATATTTATAAGTTTTTAAAGTTTTAATAAGAGTAGAATACATAACAAGAATATAATGAAAATAATAATAATAATAATAATAGATAATATATTCTAAAAATGAATATTAATTTAATAAAAAGGAAGTATATTGAAAAAATACAAATCCATGATACAATTATTGTCATTGTTAAATTAACAAATCAAAATTTATATCAAATAATAAATGAGTTATGAATAAACAAAATTTAATTGTAATGAATATTTTGAATATGAATAAAAGAAATAAAAATGAATGTAATAAGAAGAATAAATAATATATTTTAAATCAAGAAAATGGTAATAAAAAACATAAAAAAGAATAAGAATAATGTGATATAAACAAACTATAAATACGAAAAATGATAAAAACAAAAATGGATAATTTGGTAGATATTAAACAATAATTGAATAATTAAATAATAATATCTAATACCATTGATTTTATACTGACAATACAATACAAAATCATATAAAAATAAAATATTGATAATTGATGATTGAATATTATTATAACATTCCCAAGTATGTTATTTTTATTTTTTTAAATAAATATAAAACTATGAAGATTATAATGAATAGGTTTACCTTTCTTGAAGTTAAACAATTATTCAAATAAATAGGATAAAAAGAAAATAAATTTTCAAATAGAATTAATACAAGCAGAATAAAAATGAAAAGAATCTGATTTTTGAATAATAACTCAACTCAAAATCATTGTTTGTGTGAATCAAGAAAGAACAAAATCAAATATTATTTAATAAGAAATCAAAGAATTTTAAATATTTTATCATTTCATCAACAAATTTGTGAACAATTTGAAATAATATGAATATATAAATACAAATAAAAAGAAATAAAAAATGAATGGAACATAAAAGAAAGAAATAATTAAGAAGAGAGAGAGAATATATTTAAAGGGAAGAATTAAATATTCATTCAATGCTAACATTTATATTATTTATAGTATTAACGACTGCAATAGAGACTAACGTAAATTTAAAGGGTGAGACAGTATCAATATCAGACGTTGAACCACCATCAGGGTTATCAAAGGTTGAAGAACCACCAACAGTACCAACAAAGGTGGTAGCATCACCAGAAGGAGATTCAACAAACTCCATGACACCAGGTGCTGTATCAACAACACCTGCAGAATCACCACAATCACAAACAGGAGTAGAACCAACAAAAGGATCATCACCACTTCCACAACCATCAAAAGAACAAACACAGTCACAAACATCATCTACTCCAACATTACAACCATCAGCTGAACCGCAACCAAAAGAACCAACACTAAATACAGCAACTGAACAACCACCAACAAAACCAAGTCAAGTAGAACCATCACAATCAACAGATACAACTCAAGGACAGAAACCAGATGGGTCAGCACAAACAAAAAACACAGAATCAAATTCACTACCACAACCACCAACACAACCAAAAAATGAAGTAACAAAAACAACAGGAGTCACTGAACCAGCAACAGGACAAGCTTCAAATGCAGAACCAGCAAAAGAAAATTTACCATCTGGAGATTCAGTACCAATTCCACAAACAGAACCATCTAATGAAACACCACAGTCACAAAAACCAGCACCAGATGATGCAGGATCATCCCCATCATCAACTACAACAACACAAGACAACCCACAAACAACATCTCAAAATACAAACACACCAGTGCCAGTAACAACATCAGATAATTCACAGAAAGAATCTCCAACAACGCCAGATACAACAACTACACAATCAGATAAATCATCTGATAAACAAACGGATAAAACACCAGTATCAACACAAACACATTTACCAAACAAAAACGAAACAACAAATGGAACAGAAAATAATAAAATGAATAAAACAAATGATGAATTGAATGAACATAATAATCTTAATGGCGTGTCTTCAATCTTTATTGCTCTTTCTATTGTTATCATTTTTATTCTCTTCTAATTGATGTTATTTAACATTTTTATTTCTTCTCAATTCATTTATTAATAATTATATTTGATAATTGTAGAATTTCAATTCAGCAACGAAAAAAAAGCAAATAATTGAAA